ATACAAAGAGGAACTGGTACCATTCCTTCTGAAACAATGCCAAACAATCCAAAAAGAGGGAATCCTTCCCAAATCATTTTATGAGACCAACATCATCCTGATACCAACACCCAGCAGAAACTCAACAAAAAAAGAAAACTTCAGGCCAATATCCATGATGAACATCCATGCAAAAATCTTCAATAAAATACTGGCAAACTGATTGCAACAGCACATCAAAAAGCTTATCCATCACGATCAAGCAGGCTTCATTCCTGGGATGCAAGGCTGGTTCAACATACGCAAGTCTATAAATGTAATCCACCACGTAAAGAAAACCAAAGACAAAAACCCACATGATTATCTCAACAGAGCACAGAAGGCCTTTGACAAAATTCCACAGCACTTTATGATAAAAACTCTCAATAAACTAGGTATCGAAGGAACATATCTCAAAATAATAAAAGCTATTTACATCACACCTACAACCAATATCATACTGAATGGGCAAAAACTGGAAGCATTCCCTTTGAAATCCAGCACTAGACAAGGATGCCCTCTCTCACCACTCCTATTCAATACAGTATTGGAAGTTCTAGCCGGAGCAATTAGAAAAGAAAAAGAAATAAAGGATATTCAATTAGGAAAAGAGGAAGTCAAATTGTCTCTATTTGCAGACAACGTGATTGTATATTTGGAAGACCCTATCATCTCAGTCCAAAATCTCCTTAAACTGATAAGCAACTTCAACAAAGTCTCAGGATACAAAATCAATGTGCAGAAATCACAAGCATTTCTATACACCAATAACAGACTGAGAGCCAAATCATGAGCTAACTCCCATTCACAATTGCTACAAAGAGAATAAAATACCTAGGAATACAACTAACAAAGGATGTAAAGGACCTCTTCAAGAACTACAAACCACTGCTCAAGGAAGTAAAAGAGGACACAGACAAATGGAGAAACATTCCATGCTCACGGTTAGGAAGAATCAATATCATGAAAATGGCCATACTGCCCAAAGTAATTTATACATTCAGCACTATTCCCATCAAGCTACCAATGACCTTCTTCACAGAACTGGAAAAAACCACCTTAAACTTCATATGGAACCAAAAGAGAGCCTGCATAGCCAAGACAATCCTAAGCAAAAAGAACAAAGCCAGAAGCATCACACTACCTGATTTCAAATTATACTACAAAGGTACAGTAATCAAAACAGCATGGTACTGGTACCAAAACAGAGATATAGACCAATGGAACAGAACAGAGGCCTTGGAGGCAACACCACACATCTACAACCATCTGATTTTTGACAAACCTGACAAAAACAAGTAATGGAGAAAGGATTCCCTGTTTAATAAATAGTGTTGGGAAAACTGGCTAGCAGTGCGCAGAAAGCAGAAACTGGACCCCTTTCTGACACTTTAGGCTAAAATTAACTCCTGATGGATTAAAGGCTTAAACATACAACCTAACACCATAAAAACCCTAGAAGAAAATCTAGGCAAAACCATTCAGGACATAGGCATAGGCAAAGACTTCATGACTAAAACACCAAAAGTATTGGCAACAAAAGCTGAAATAGACAAATGGGACCTAATTAAACTCCAGAGCTTCTGTACAGCGAAAGAAACAATCATTAGAGTGAACCAGCAACCAACAGAATGGGAAAAAATTTTTGCAATCTACCCATCTGACAAAGGGCTAATATCCAGAATCTACAAAGAACTAAAACAAATTTACAAGAAAAAAACAAACAAACCCATCCAAAAGTGGGAGAAGGATATGAACAGACACTTTTCAAAAGAAGACATATATGAGGCCAACAAACATATGAAAAAATGCTCATCATCACTGATTATTAGATAAATGCAAATCAAAACTACGTTGAGACACCACCTCACACCAGTTAGAATAGCGATCATTAAAAACTCTGGAGACAACAGATGCTGGAGAGGATGTGGAGAAATAAGAACACTTTTCACTGTTGGTTGGAGTGTAAACTAGTTCAACCATGGTGGAAGACAGTGTGGCGCTTCCTCAAGGACCTAGAAATAGAAATTCCCTTTGACCCAGCAATCCCATTACTGGGTATATACCAAAAGGATTATAAATCATTCTATTATAAAGACACATGCACACGTATGTTCATAGTAGCACTGTTTACAATAGCAAAGACCTGGAACCAACCCAAATGCCCATCAACGATAGACTGGACAAGGAAAATGTGGCACATATACACCATGGAATACTATGCAGCCATAAAAAATGATAAGTTTGTGTCCTTTGCAGGGACATAGATGAATCTGGAAACCATCATTCTCAGCAAACTGACACAAGAACAGAAAATCAAACACTGCATGTTCTCACTCATAGGTGGGTATTGAACAATGAGAACACATGGACACGGGGATGGGAGCATCACAGACTGGTGTCTGTTGGTGGGGGCCAAGGGAGGGACGGGTGGGGGTTGGGGAGGTCAGGGAAGGATAACATGGGAAGAAATGCCAGATGTAGCTGATGGGGGGTTGGAGGCAGCAAACACATTGCCATGTGTGTGTACCTATGCAACAATCCTGCATGATTTGCACATGTACCCCAGAACCGAAAGTACAATTAAAAAAAAAAAATTAACATGGAGCTGAAAAGCTCCTATAGCCCAGTGGCAACATAGCCATCATAATGTTGTAGAGCAATTACCTTTTGAAAAATAAATTAGTGTAGCCTAAGGGTACAGTGTTTATAAAGCCTACAACAGTGTACAGAATGTCCTAGACCTTCACATTCACTCACTACTCACTCAACTCACCCGAGCAACTTCTAGACCTGCAAACTCCATTCACGGTAAGTGCCCTATACAGGTGTATTTTTTTTTTTTTTTTTTTTACCTTTTAGACTGTATTTTTACTGTACCTTTTCTATGTTTAGACACACAAATACTCACCATTGTGTCACAATTGCCTATATTGTTTTTGTTTTGTTTTGTTTGTTGTTTTTATTTTGTTTTTGTTTTTGAGATGGAGTCTTGCTTTCTCCCCTAGAAATGCAGTGGCACCATCTCTGTTCACTGCAACTTCTGCCTCCCAGGTTCCCGAGATTCTCCTGCCTCAGCCTCCAAAGTAGCTGGGACTACAGGGGGCGCCATCAAGCCCAGCTAATTTTTGTGTTTTAAGTAAAAACGAGGTTTCACCATGTTGGCCAGGCTGGTCTTGAAGGCCAGCCTCGGCATCCTAAAGTACGGGGATTACAGGCGTGAGCCACTGTGCCGGGCCAATTGCCTTCAGCGTTCTGTTACAGTACCATGCTGTACAGGTTTGTAACCTAGGAGCAATAGGTTATACCATATAACCTAGGTGTGTAGTGGGTTACACCGTGTAAGTTTGTACAAGTACACTCTATGATATTTGTGCAACGATTATGTCGCCTAACAATACATTTCTCTGAACATACTCCCATCATTAAAAGATGCATGACTATATATATTTGTATGCCTTTTTAACTTCCTGGAAGAATATACAAAAATATTAATAGTGCCTGTAACAGTGAATGGTATGGAAGGAAGGAAGGAAGGAAGGAAAGGAAGGAGGGAGGAAGGAAGGAAGGAAGGAGAGGATTCTTTTTTTATTTCATACACTTCTGTAGTGTTTGAATTATTTTCATTGAATATATTATTTTCATTATTTTTAAAAGCGTCTTCTTCCCACCTTATTGTCTTGTCTATTTCAGCCTAGCCAACTAGATTTTCTCAGGACTGAGTTTATTTCTCAGGACTGAGTATATTAACTCTGTCTCAAGCTCATATGCATCTATCTCCCAAGATTATTCTTCCCAAACCACTTTAGGTTTGAGTATGACGTTTCCTAGGTCTTTAACTTATAATTAACCAAATGAAACTATCAACAGATGGACCCCCTAATCCAGGTGTTGAACTGCAAAAATGACATTTTGGGGAGTGAGGAGATGCTAATTCAATTGTGTCAGTTGAAACATCAACAAACATTAGCAATGCCACATTGTCATGAAGCGGAAGGTCAAAGATCCATACATCCTTCACTGGGCGGCATGGTGGGACTTAACTGGGGCAGTTCCGGTTCTGCCATTAGGACCACGAGCACTCCAATCTCAATGAAAGTGTATAAGACACTGCCATTATCCCCGGATCATTGCCACGATAGACCCAAACAACTCCAGTCTATCGTGTCAATGTGTATTTGGGGAGTCTTTAACACATGGATCATTGGCGAGCTGTGCCATAAGAGCCCTGTAGGAGCTGCGGCCGTGTATGGAATCAATGCACACTTGGGGACTCCCCGATGCCCGGATCATTTGCAGTGTATCGTGTCAATGCATACTCCGGGAGCCCTTACTCCAAAGCTTGAGTGCGGAGGACCAGTGTACACCAAAAATACTTATGAAATAGTTGTTACAGTGCATAGACAATATTCACTTTTCCAAATGGCATGTCAGCAAGTTTAATGTGCCACAAATAACTCCTAAAAGGCACAAAACACTCCTAGAGGCCCACCTTCACACATGAATGGTTGGCCCATGGAATTGTGGCATGGCTGTGGGGGAGTGTGAGTCTTTTAAATGAACAAAGGGAAAAGAAACAGACATCTGCTACTTACTGTCGTCAGGGTTTTCAGCAGAATCCCAAACACCTCCTAATTATTTTCCTGGGCGTTTGATGTTTAAGATACAAGGACCTTCCCTCCATCCCTGCCCTGTTCCAAAGCACCTGCAGAGCAAGGTGAGAGGGCAAGGTTAGAACATGGGTTGGGTTGGGTCTTAAGAGCAGTCCCATAGAAATATAATGTGAGTCAATCCAAGCACTTTGGAGGCCAAGGTGGGCGGATCACCTGAGGTCGGGAGTTCAAGACCAGCCTGGACAACATGGTGAAACCCGGTCTTTAAAAAAAATAAATAAATAAAATTTAAATTAAAAAAAAAGAAATATAATGTGAGCCACGTGACTAAATTTAAATGTTCTTTGTAGCCACATTTTTTTAAAAAAGTAAAAAAGAACCAGATTTAATTCATGATACTTTATTTCACCCTATATACCGAAAATGTTATCATTTCAATATGCGATAAGGGTTGTTTTTAAATGATGAATAAGCCAGTTCACATTCTTTTTTTCATAGTCTTCTTTACAATGGAGTGTGTATTTCCCACTTGGAAAACATCTTGGTCTGGCCTGGCCACGCTGCAAGCGCTCAGCAGCCTCTTGTGGTCATGGCTGCCCCAGTGAGGAGCACGGTTGCAGAGGCCCAGGAAAACCAACCGGAGGAGCATGGGTGTTCACTGCCTTCCTTCACCCACTCCAGGCAGTTTCAACCACCTTTCCGCCTCATTTCCTCACCCGGGCAGCCTTTTCTCAGCAGCCTGACAGAATAGCTGTGTGCTGGGTTTCTGAAATCATAAAAATGACCACAGATATGCATTCGGAAAGAGGGCTGAAAACTCCTCTAGGCCCAAACGGTAATGCCAGTACTAGGTCATCGTTCCTGGAGATGTAGATGAAGGGAGAGCTAGGGGCCCCTCCCGAAGGAAAGAGGGGGCGGGCGTGGCATCCAGTTCGAGGGCGGCGGCCTTGCTGCAGCCGCAAACTTCCCCAAACCTGCCGCCAGCGCACCGCCCGGGGTGAAGGGTACCGGCGTGCGGGGACGCAGAAGTGTGGCTGGTTTCTGGAGCTAAGTCTGGCGGGACACAAAAGACTAGGGAAAGGAGAGGGAGACGGAGACAAAGGCGCGGGGGAGGACAGGGAGGCGCGCGCGGTCGCGGGCGAAGCGATGATGCGGGGCGGGCGCGCGCAGCCCGGGACTCCCGGGACCCGCGGGCGGGAGCAGGCGGAGCGGGCAGGGCGATTTGAATATCAGGCTCTGCCACACTCGGGACGCTGCTGACAACTTCATTACCTCCGCATATAAAAATGACTGCCGGGGAATGCAAATAGCTCGCCCGTCTCAGCCGCCTGCCCCCGTTCCGCTGCCGGCTGCAGGCGGAGGCCCGGGGAGCCGCAGCAGCCCGAGGCGCAGACGCGCCCTGTCCAACGTAATGAACTGCCGGGCCGCGGCTCCGCCCACGCCCCCGCGCCCGCGCCGCCGAGCCCGGCCGGGAGGGGGAGCCGGCCCGGTGCGGGAGGGGGCAAGGGGCAGGGGCGGGCGGCCGGGCGCGGTTCCGAGGTCGGCGTTGCTAGTCAGTGTCGGCGCGAGCCCTGCCTCTAGACTCTGTCATCCAGTTAATGCTGTGAAAATGCCAGGGAAGTAGAGTGCTCGGTGGGCTCCACTCGTGACCGCGAACCCTGACGGAAAATAGAGACCCCCGGCCTCCGTCCCGCGCGGCCTGGTGATTAAATTGGACCCCAGCCTCCCGGCGCCGCGCCCTCGCCTCTCGGGCAAGCCGGCGAGGGGCGTGCGGCGCCATACTCTCCAGGCCTGCGGCCACACGGAGGAGGCTGAGTCGCTGGGCAGGACCCGCCTCCCGAACCCCCGGCCTTGCTGAGCTCCCCTTGTGGCCACCGAGGCCAGCCGCGTGCGAAGGGGAACGCAGGCTTGACGGCGCCTTCTCCTTGCCCTAGCTCCCTCTTTGGCAGGAAGTCACCTCCTGCCTTCTCATAGTTCCCCCTGTCACATTTGGGCCCCTTGTGAACTTCTCGAGGGGAGGAGCTAGGTCATTTTATTAATAATATCAATAACGACAATAGTAAACATCTGAGGACTGTTCTATGCAAGGCACTATGCCAACTGCTTACCTACATTATGTTTATCACAGCGACCTTATTGCTGTCCTGGAAACCCAGGCTTAGCAGAGCCTTTCAAGGGGCCCTGGATAACCCAGCTAGGATGAGAGGGCGCACAGATGAGAACCCAGGCCCCTCTGCACTCTCAATCACTCTGCAGTATTTTCCGAGTCCTTCTGACAGCTCACATAACTGTCCCACACCCCTTTCTTCCCCTGCCGCCCCCACCCATCTTATGCCAGCCCCAGACCCCATTCCCTCCCTCTCCTTGGCCCAGAAGTAAATCCTAAGTAGTCTAAATCTGTTATGACTAACCCTTCCCTTGCCCAGGCATTGGCATAGAAAAAGAGCATGTGACCAGTCCTGGCCAAGGCCAAGTGAGGGGACATGTGCTGGGGTTTTCTAGGAAATGCTTCCTTGCTCTGAAAAAAGACACCCATAGAAGCGATTCCAGTTTCTTCTGCTTTATAATGTGTATCCACCACCTGGTAACCATGGAGGAGCCAGGGAACAAAATCTGCAGAGATTTACAAGGTTAAGTGAGCTAACTCAAGGGTTAAAGTTTAGGAGAATCATGTTTTAGTTTTATCTTTATCTGCGATGAAGTCATGCTGCCTCGTGTTTATTCAGGGACATATTTAAAGTTAACTCCTTTTTGAAACAAAACAAGATGTAAAGATGTAAACAAGGAAAACTCCAGAAATTTGCTCTTGTCCCCATTAAAGAGTGTCTGGTTCTAGGTACTTCAATGGAACCTCTCACTTCCAGCTTCTCTTCCTGGGCACTCACCTCTAACTCATTCAGCCTCGAGGCTCTAAGCCGCTTTTTTCCCCCAGCTCCCTTTTCCCTCAAAACAAATCTTTGCCTACACAGGCAAGGCGTCTCTTCCCTCCAGGAACATCAGAACCCCCTTCTAACCATCCTGCACCCACACACCCAGGCGTCTGAGCTTGACTGCCTTTGAAATGTTTACTGGCCTTCAAATAGTCTATCTGAAGAATTTGCATCTTGTTCTTTGGGAAAATCAGGCATAACCAGTCACTTACTACTGGTTTCCTTGGCAGCTGTTTTAAAACAGAATCTGAATTGTAATAAAAATGGATTTTTATGGTTTCACTAAAATCTTACACACTTTTCATGAAAATACGCCATAAAAACTATAAAAAGTATATACATACTATATGTTTTATTAATTTATGTGGAATCAATACATGGTAACTAAAATGTCTCTGTTCCCCACTGCTATGGAAAGGCAGCCCACCCTCCCGTAGCAAGACATTTAAGACCCTCCACAGTCTGCACCTAACCCAGCTCCAGCCTTATTTGTCTACTACAGTACACCACTGAATCATGCCATTGCATTTCCTTTCCCATGACATTCTCTAGAATGCCCTTGAACTCCATATCCAACTGTTCAAATACCACCAATCCTTCCAAGTCTAGATTGGATACCATCTCTTCCAAGAAGCTTTTCCCATTCCTCACATATAATGACACAAATTGAGTTACTTAGTATTTATTTTCAGCAATATTTAGCATGTTTTATTTACTGATACCCAGTATTGTTAAAATAATGGACATTTCCAAACAGTTGGATGGCTTAAATATTACCATGCAAACAATTAAAATGAGTAATAAGTATTATCAGCAGAATTGTATAAATCTTCCTCCCATCTTAAGGCTGAGCTGTTCTCTCAGATGTGATAAAATAAAGCTTCATACACCACTTATTTTTGTTACTTTCATTTCAGTAATAGAAAACCTGTCTGTAGTAGCTTCAAAAACGAAGAAAATGTAGTATCGGAAGTCCCAAGGTAGCAGATGCTAAGTTTGGTTAATTCAGTGGGTCAAAAATGTTTAGTGTTGTCAAGTTCTTCTCATCTTTCTGAAACGCTGCCATCCTCAGCTTGTTGACCTTGTCCTTAACTAGTTCTCCTCAAGGTCTCAAAATGGCTGGCATAGTTCTGGGCATCACTTAAGACATGGCAAAGGCTAGCCAAAAAAGTTGACTGTTCTCTTAAATGTTTTAAGAGTGGAGAAATAATACCAAAGATCCCTCAGATATTTTCTCATTGGCCAGAACCAGGGCACACAACTATCTCTAAACTACCACTGTCAAGGGAGGCAAGATTATCAGAATTGATACTAATCAAGATTTAGCCTTGGATTATATTGGGGGTGAGGGGAACAGGGCAGGAGAGCAGGGAATTGATAGGAGAGGCAATGCCAAAACAAAAACTGAACTTTAGTCAGTTTCTCAGTCATCAATTTCTGCATCTAAACTATCCCAAAGCTTAGTGCCTTCGAAAATTTTTTGTTTTTTTTTTTCTAGAATCTGGACTGGGCTCCCAAGGAATGAGGGAGAATGGCTATTGAGTAGGCACTAAAAGCATCAGCAACATTTTTTTTTTGAGACAGAGTCTCACTCTGTTGCCCAGGCCAGGCTAGAGTGCAGTGGCGATACCTCAGCTCACTGCAACCTCTGCTTCCCTGGTTCAAGGGATTGTGTGCCTTACCCACCCTGAGTAGCTGAGACTACAGATGCATGCCACCATGCCTGGCTAATTTTTGCATTTTTAGTAGAGATGGGGTTTCACCATGTTGGTGAGGCTGGTCTCAAACACCGGACCTCAGGTGATCCGCCCGCCTCAGCATCCCAAAGTGCTGGGATTACAGGTGTAAGTCACTGCACCAAGCCAGCATCAGCAACTTATCATGATGGCTTATTATTTGAAGATCAAAACCCAATCACACTTTGATTATTCTCTTATTGCTTCTATCTACCAAAAAAAAAAAGTGTTTGAAAAAATGATATATTGATGTAGTCGATAGTAAACTGATTGGCTGAACTCAACTGATAATTTTCTTAGGGGGCAGTAAAATCATGTTTGCTCTTTTGATTTGCTTTCTCCCCACTAAATAACTAGCCATGTTATGGATCCTACATAGGGTTTTTCTTTTAACAATATGAATGCTTGACGGAATTAAGCCATTTTTCCGTTAAGTTCCTTAGTTTGTAGACATCTGAGAATTAAGTCAGGAGAATAGCAAATAATTATTTTGATTTACCAAATAATTTGATAACTGGATTATTCACCATCAGAATATTACTCTTTGAAAACATGTAAATCACAGAAGTGTTTGAAGATAAAGTTATTAAATAGCCATTTCCCCCCTTGAAGGCAGATAGGAAAATTGTAACATATAGTCTTTGTTTTGTAAATGTCACTTCCTTATTCTAAATAGGCCTTCTGGTTCTCTTTTAATTTTTATATATTAAAAAAGTTCTTAAGTAGTGGCTATGGTCAGACTCATGTCATTTACTAAAATGCCACATGGACTTCCTTTTGTCATCATGTCTTCCATCTTCTAGTAAATGTGTAAGTGCCTCTAGAACAATACCTGGTCCGACGATGAATGTTCATACCATCATCCTCTTCCTTTCTTTTCAAGACGCTCATGAAACTGCTTACACAAAATCTGATGTATTCCAATACCATCTCTGTGAAATATAGACCTTTAAAGCCAGATTGACAGTCCTCTAATTTGATAGGCGAAGAAACTAAAGCCCTAGAATTTAGAGAACTTTCTCGAAGTTGCCAGACTAGTTAGTAATTTAGTGGGATCTCATTATCTTATTTTTTGGTTGGTTGCCCTTTAGGCCATACATAGTATTAATGATTAACATGAAGCACAGACCTATCTCTAACCAGGTTATGAGTCAGATTCTTTAATATGGAGTTAATGGCACCCACTCAGACAGGTCCCTGCAGGGGCAGAATTCACACTATATTCTCCAGGACTGAGAGCACTTACTTCCTCTAACTTCCAGCCCAACATATCCAGAGATCCCATCAAGCCCCATTCCCAGGTACCTGAGGTCTCCTCAAATCCCTGTTTCATTACCTGTGCCAGCAGCCCAGGCAAACCCGGGGTTCAAGGAAGGTACTTGACAAGGTGCTTCCTCCCATTCCCATCAAGCTGGGGCAGGCAGGGGAAATGGAGGAGATGGCTGGTAATGCATCGCCTGCCATCTATGCACCTTCACAGTGAATTTACAGCTGAATCTTCAGATTCACATCTGACAGTTTAATCATAAAAGAAGGTTTTTGTGGCCAGGCGAGGTGGCTCACGTCTGTAATCCCAGCACTTTGGGAAGCCAAGGCAAGTGGATCAGAAGGTCCAGAAATGGAGACCATCTGGCTGACGTGGTGAAACCCTGTCTCTACTAAAAATACAAAAAGTTAGTTGGGCATGGTGGCATGTGCCTATAATCCCAGCTACTCGGGAGGCTGAGGCAAGAGAATCCCTTGAATTAGGGAAGCAGAGGTTGCAGTGACCAAGACTCTGTCTCCAAAAAAAAAAAAAAAGAAGGTTTTTGCTTCTGAAACGTTAGTTGAATTTTCCCCCAAGAAGAGTTGTTTGGATTTAGAAACCCTGAGGCCTGTGTTTTTTCAGTGTCGAATTAGTCCATTGGCAGCATGCATTCGAACCCACAACTCATGTGTTTAAATCATACGTTTCTAAAAAGAGAAACTCTGATGTGCTCCAATTCACTAATACTTTTAAACTATTAAAAGACAACTAAGAAAATGAAGCCTAACCACGACTATTTGTACCCTTCTTTTTCTTCGACCAACAATTGCCGTACTCTGCACTAATGAGGTAGACTGTGTTAAGAATT